GAAGGGAGGGCTAGGAATGGGGAAAAAATAAGAACCAAGATGCATTATGTAAAGGTACAATTCCCAATGGGAAATGTAATTGTGTTGTATACCTACAATGTACCAGTAAAATAATTTAATAAGAAAAAATGAATATATACTGTTAATATTGCTATTGATCTCATCAGAAAGATTTTTTTTTTTTTGTAGCAGGGATCAAACTTGGGACCTTGCACTTGCAAGGCAGGTGACAGATCCAGTGAGCTAAATCTCTGGCCCTAGAGAAAGATCTTTTATTATTGGGAAGGCTCTCAAGTTCATGGTGGTAGGTACAAATTTTTCATAATTCTAGTGTTTTTGCTTGAATGCTTGAATTTTATTATTGGTAACAAGTATGTTTTCTTGGAAATGAAAAGAAGTTTTTTATAAGATGCTCTGTAAGATATAGATCTGAATAACCATAGTTTGTCTGCTAGTTGATTTCTTTTTAAGTAAAAATGGTATTCCATGAAAAAACAGGCTTGTTCAGCTTGCAATTAAAACAAAATCATATTGTGACATGCAAAACTTTGTTAAGCAGAGTATTAAAAAGGTGTGTCCTCAAGGATCAAGTTTAATGAAGTTGGTAATTTTATTGTCTTATCAAGCATATTAAGTGAAACTGGAGTATTTTCTTGTTTGCTTAAGCACAAATACATAGCAGTGAAGAATACAATGACTACTAGTATGGCATTGTTTGTGTTGCTGCTTTGATTTGTGCTAAGGCACCAGGGGTTTTACTCACCAGTTCTTTCTGTCTTATCATTGCAAAGTTCAACTCAATAAAAAAACCAAGTTATGTCATGGTGTTACTGTGAAATGGCTTTTTGACATTGATGTTTTCCTTGAAACAATCTCAGGGACCTCTAGATGTTCCCAGGCTCCACTGTTGAGAACCCTACTTGAATATCTGAGGGGACATACATTGTACAATTCATTACACTATTTCTATTGTAGCTATTGTACACATAATATATCTCTGACTCCTACCTTCTGATGTCAGTAGTGCCTTCTAATTTATTTATTTATTTGTTTATTTATTTATTTGTTTGTTTATTTATTTATTTATGACTGTCATCTTGCTATGTAGTTCAGACTGGGCTCAAACTCACTATCTAGTCCAGGTTGTCCTTGAACTTGTGATCCTCCTGCCTCAGTCTCCTGAGTGCTATGATTACAGGCATATGGCATCACACCCAGGTTTTGTTTATTTTTCATTGACAGATAATAATTGTACATCTTTATGGGATATAATGTGATTTTTTAGTACATTTATGTACATGATCAACTCAGGATATTTAAGCTATCCATCATCATTTATCATTTCTTGGTGATGAAAACATTCAAAATCCTCTTTCATAGGTATTGGGAATTATATAATACAATATTGTTGATAATAATCTCCCTTCTGTGTAATAGTACATCATTTCCATCATTTTGACAATCAAAATGCCTCCTAGGCCTCCCCATAGTACCTATAGGGCTGGCATGACTATTTGAGAACTATGTCTCTAGAAGTCCTCATCCATGTCACCAACTTGACCAGAAACCTCTGCTGCATGAATGTATGCCTGAATCTAACATGTGCAAATCAAACTTTTCACCTCCTGATAGATAAAGAATGAGTAAGAAACAGAAAGGCGTGTAGAGTTCAATTTTGTCTGCTCTTTACAAATGAAGAAACTGAGGCACCAGAAAGAAAGGTGACTTCAAGGCCATAATAAATACTGAAGCAACTATTATTGAATAATTGTTCCTCCCATCATCTTTCAGACATTTTACACATTTTCACATTTAATTTGTAGGCATTTCCAGCCTGGTTTTACAGAGGAAGAAAATGAGACTCAGGGGTAAAAAGACTTCTGAGAATTATAAAACCAGTAAAGGACAATAAAGACCTGAAGTCCAGGTTTCTTGGCTCCAAATGCTGGGTTCTCCCTTTCTTGCCGTGACTAAGCTTTCTTTCTCCACCTCTCATCATGCAAAATTCAGTCAAGTGCATAAAACTTCAGATTGTGATTTCATCACATTTTACACATTTATTTTGCATTTTCTCTGCCATCCTCTAGTTTGGCTCCTCATTTCATCTCATTTTGACTTAGTGCCTCTAAACCAGGTATGCTGATTTCGCTGTGTTTTCTTTCACCTACTCTGAACTCTTTCTTCATCATAAAGTCACAGATTGAGGCAGGACACCCAAAGGGGAGAGAATTAGAGTTCAAATACAAGTGAGGAGCCAAAAGAATAGCTGGGTGAGGGTGAGAGGCAGAAAGATTTACACCCTGTGTTTTATGGGTATATCTTTCCTGCAGGTTTTCATGTGTTTTTATCTTGTCAGCAGGTCACGAATTTAGCATGGTTATCTTATTTGGACAAGAAGACATTGAGACTAAGAGATGGTAAGTAGCTTGTGCAAGATCATACAGCCTGCCGGTGACAAGTGGAAATGTGAACCCCAATGACCTGTGTCCAATGCCTGCTGCCATTAACATCTCCCCCAGGAAAATACCTGATAGGATGTTCAGAAAAGTATTAAGAGTCCAACTAGGCCTAGAAGTAGGTAGAACTCACTTCAACTTCTGGCTAAGACATGAAGTCTATCTGTCTGACAATCAGTTCAGACAGGAGAGGATGAGGGGAAGGTTCTAGATTGGTTCCACCAGGTTCTGTGCCAGGGAAATCAAACTTGGTTGGAAATGAGTTAAAGTTACTTGAGACGATCTGGAATTTTGTATCTCTCATGCTTTCATGTTTCTAATGAAAAATTGATTTTGTTTTCCCTTAGTTTGCTATGAAAGCTCCTCTTGGGTAAAAAACACTGCCGCCTTGCACCGAGAGCTAGCAGGAGTATCTCCACAGCTTGGAAGGACCCAGAGGAGTCTTGGGAAATCTCTGGAGCCCTACATGTACAAGCAACCAAAGGTGGCCTGATGGTGGCTGATAAGGAGTCATGCAGGAAGGAGAAGTCAGGAGGGTGAGGGGTTGATTTTGCCTGAGATGGCCTCACAGTCGACACACCACACATCCCACTTGTGCCCACTCTTCTCCATTCTAGTGTAGCAGACTTGCTGCCAGGTTGCCACTTCTCCTATGGCTTCTATTCTTCATGGGATTAGAATTACAGCGTACTATATATAGAACAAAATGGCCTGTTAAGCCTTTCATTCCCTCCTTTCTATGGTATCAGCAAAGTGGCCAAAAGGCAGGGAACTATATAAACACATCTGGGCTAATATATTCAAGAGGAGCAAGTGGAGAAAAGTCAGCCTGCTCTTGCTCCCTCTCATTCTTACCTTACTTATGCCACAGTGTCTTTGGAACCTTATGCCCCCAGTGTGCTGACATAGAGGAGGGAGGGAAACTTGGTGTTCGTGTGTCTTCATGGTCAAGATTCTTCCATATGTTAATAAAACAAGGAAGTTGGACTGATAGGGAGAAAATGCAACATAAAATAAAATATATTAGCATTAGAAGCCTTGAAGTTCTACCTTCCTCAACTACTGGAAAACAATATGAATTGGTCAAGAACATGTTACAGGCTTTTTCCCTTCCTCTTCTCCTTTACTAGCCAGTGTTAGGGACCCTAGAAAGTTTACCACATGGCAGTATAAGTTGAGCTGGGAAAATTCCAGTTATGAAGAAACTGGTGCTCAGCGCAGTGAAGGACTTAGTTAAGGTCATGAAGGTCTTCTGAGTCCCAACCCCCACTTTTGCTATGGCATCAGCCTGGTTGAAGGGAGGCCCATTCTGCAAAAATCTGGGGCAAAATGCATTGTCTCTTCCAACTGTCTCTCTCCAAGAGAGAACACTGTGATTGGAGGGGAAAATCTACTTGAAAAATAATTTCTGAAAAATAGAAAAATGAGAATGTGAACAATGATTTTTCTTTGGAGAAACAAATTTAGTATATGATACATTCCAGTCAATATAACAAATATTTTATGGGCCCATGCTTGTGACTGACTGTATAGTTGAAATGTAGATTCCTGGGCTCCACTTTTAGAGGTTAAAGTTTAATGCATGGTTTTCTGATGGAAAGAATCGCTTGGTGACATTTGCCAATGATAAAGTCTTTTTCCCTGGGAGTTCTGATTCAGTATGGCTCAGTTGGGGTGGAGTATTGGAGCCTGAGCATCTCAGGTGATTCTGAATTTCTCATGCAAATGATCCCTGAGCTCATTTTAAGAGGCTATGAATCAACCTTATTCATTTATAGCCCATTTAGTTTCCTCTCTTCAATTACTTTCTGACTGCCGGCTATTTAAACCATTCTGAGTATGGAGACATGGATTAATAAGTTCTAGAGAAATCCAAGATGTTTATGTCCAAAGATAGGGTTTGGCAGAGTGTTGGGATCAATGTAATCTCCTCTTGGCCTCACTTCAGAAAACTTAAAAAAAAAAAAATCCTTAAATGTCTTTTAGAAACAGTTGTTTTAAGACCTAGAGAAAACCTATTCCAATTTGATTTTTTTTTTTTTTTTGGTACCAGGGATCGAACATCGAACTCTGTACCTCAAGCTTGCCAGGAAGGCGCTGTGTGATTGAGCTACATCCCCGGGCCCCAGTTTAAATTGAACCCACTCTGGCCTTCAGCTCTGGTTATGGAACAATGTGGTGTTAAGAATGTGTGGGAAAAGACCAGAAAATCAGGAATTTACCCCCCTGCCTCCCGCTGATTTATGCCTAGCTTGTCAAAGTCTCCTGAGCTTTAGAAATGCTGAATATTTTAGCACAGCTCGAAGTTTAAGCCGGGTCTTGCTTTTCAGCTGATTATTATTAACAGTGGTGTCTCTAGTGCTTTAGTGGTGCTCAGCTGTAACCTTTAAACTTGCTCCATTCCTGCTTTTTGAGGTGTTATAAATTCCATGATTTAAAAAATATCACAATAGGAACATTCACTGACTTTTTGGGCCAGCATTTCTGAGACTTGTTACCTGGGAGATGTAAGCTTGAGTATTCTTTATGTTCACACATCTGAGCTGCTTTCTTGTTGAACTCTAGAAGTGTGCAGTAAGTCTTTACTAAAGAAAAATTCTTTACCAAAAGAGACAATACCAGCACACTCATTTGTTGTCTATATTTGTGGCTGCTTATTGTGGATCTGGGAGCATTTGGTGCAGAAAGCTGGGCTCTCCTCCCCCACATGGTTACTGTAAATGATTTAAATCAATGCTTTTTGTGCAGTATTGGGTACAGGAAATACAATACGCAGCCACTAAATATGCCATTTAAATTCATCTCAGGCAAAGGTTAAAAGAGAGGTGGGGGGAGGAGCAGGGACAGCAGAGATTGCCAAGGTAGCTGTATTCAAATGTTTTTGATAGGTTTCTAAGATACATGTTTCTTTCCAAAGCAAATGCATTCATGTCTAAGAAAGAAAATAGACAGGGAAAATGTTAGCTCCTGTGCTGGTGAGCTCATGAGAAATGCCAAAAGAGTTGTTTGTGGACAGCCTCAAATATCAGGGTTTCTTTATTGTTAAGCTTTGAGGCTCAGAATCAGGCAGAATGTTTCCATGACAACTAATAGATGTTATGTTTATTTACTGAGTGTCAGGGAATGACAGTGTCAGCAAGTGACATTTTAGTGTCTTTCTCATCTTTTTCTCCCCAGTAAGGATTTGTTTTAGTCAACGAAAATGGCAACAACATCTTCCATTTTATTTGTCAGAGCCTCTATTATGGCAGAAGTAAATAGTGATTTAATTTGATTCAGTTATTCCATGAAACATACTTCAAAGACCCATCGCTTTATGCACTTTGGAGTACATTTACAGTGGGCACTTGCTGGGGAGAAGATGATTTGCAAGTGAAAAGCACATTTCAGATTTCATTCACTTGAAAATGATCTAACAACTGCATTCTGGGCTGTCTAAATTTACATAGGTCTCATTAATATTCTCTAAATTCCACATGACCTTGTTTATGCTCCTACTGATATATTCATAAAAAGGGTCTATTAAGACTTATAACAGGACCACAACCTCAGCAAAGATGGGAGACAGGGCTGCAGGGTGGGCCGGTGCAAGTCCTCACTGGTTATAAATAATGATATATTCCACTCTTGTTACCTGCCTGTGGCTCGTCTGCCCTCTAAATTATCTGCGGTCAATTTTTAATGCTGAACTGGCTTCCTCTTACTATCCAGCTGGTGTGTGCTCAAGGGATATAAGCCTGCGCTAGCATTTGCTTTGAGGAAACACAATTAGGAAGGCAAGCTGCTGCTGGGGGTGGGGGGGTGGTTAGTCATATGATGTATGCTAAAGCAGAAAATTCACTGTTTTTTAGTCCCCATTTTATATTATCTGTACTGCTACTCTGGTTAATTTGAATAATTGAAATTTGGGATATTTTTCCTTTTGAGAAAGGAAACAAAGTCAGTGTGTGACTATTAGGAGTTATTCAAAACATTATTGCTTGAAAACAATGTCTAATTTCCTGTTGTCCTAGGTAGAAGTGAGCTTTTCTTAAAACTCTTCTATCATTGCACTAAGCTGATTTGTTGCAGGCCTGTTTCTTACACTAGAATGTAAGCAGCTTGAAGGCAACACTATGTCCTCCTCATCTTTGTATCTATAGCACCTAGCACACTTTCTGGCACAGCAGACAACCAAGAAATGGACAGTGTATGAATGACTTACCGTAACCCAGCCCTGGCCATAAGCTCCTGACTGATATCAGGCACTCCCCTTGTAATCATGTTGCCATTAAATGCCCCTCCCATGTCATTGCCAGTGTCTAGTTCTGTGGAATAAACACAAATTATTGTCTATTTAGAAATGAGAGCCAGCATTTCTCAAGGGGATGTTCTTTTGTTTTGTAGGGTACACATACATGCACTGCACTTCCGCAAATAATACAATGGAAAAGTAACAAAGGGAAGACACAGATTCTGATGAGGTCCTTGTTTAAACACAAAGAGACTGTGAGAAAGAAGGAAGAATGTTGAATAACTTGGCAGTCTTAGATTCTCTGTCATTAATTGGGTCTCAGCAACCTCCCTTCTAAAATGAAAGACTTGGACTAGATGAAATGTTCTCAATTTGTGTACCAATGAATACTAGTATCTCCAGTGTTCGAATACCTTTCTGAAACAAACAACCAAAAAATCAACCCCTGTGTAAAAATGCACACTAAACAGGAATACATGGAGTCACATGAGTCTGAGACGTCAGAGAAAACAGATGGTTCTGTCCTCCAGTGTCCTCTGTGATTGATTAATCAGGAATCTGACCAGAGGAAGCTTGGCTTAGTCTATTTGCGCTGCTGCAACAAAATCCCCAAGACTGGGTAATTTATACAGAATACAAATTTATTTCTCACTGTTCTTTGAGAGATCTGAGCCTGGAAGTCTGAGATCAAAGTCCTGCTGTTTGGTCTGGTGGGGAACTTCTTGCTGTATTCTTACATGACAGAAGGCAGAAGGGCAAACTAGTGCAAACTAGCCACTGCTATATGAAGATATATATATGCTATATATATATATTTATGAATATATATATGAGCAT